ACATCTGAGCGAGCGACTCAGACGCTCATCATAGCTCATCGTAGAGAGCTAGTCGACAGGCCGCACGCCACTGCCAGAACACCTATCCCGAGGCAACCATTGACATCGAGATGGGCTCTTTACATGCCTCGGGAATCGCTGATATCACCATCGCCAGCTTGCAAAGCATCACCTCCAAGGATCGTCTTCAGAAATTCGACCCGGCCAGGTTCAAGCTTGTTCTGGTCGACGAGGCTCACCACATCGTGGCTCCTGGCTACATGCGTATCCTCAAGCACTTTGACCTCGACGCCAAGAAGCCCCATTCTCCCGCGCTGGTCGGCGTGTCCGCCACTTTCTCCCGTTTCGACGGCCTCAAACTGGGCGCCGCCATCGATCAAATTGTCTACCACAAGGACTACGTCGATATGATTGGAGAAAAGTGGCTTTCCGACGTCGTCTTCACCACTGTCAAGTCGACTGCTGACATCTCACGGGTGAAGAATGGCGTCAACGGGGACTTCCAGGCTGGCGAGCTGTCGCGCGTCGTCAACACTGACCAGATCAACGAGATCACCGTGCGAAGCTGGCTCGCCAGGGCACAGGGTCGAAGGTCAACTCTTGTCTTCTGTGTCGATCTGGCTCATGTTGCTGGCTTGACCCAGAAATTCCGTCGATTTGGACTAGATGCTAGGTTTGTCACAGGAGACACGCCAACCATCGAGCGCAGTGAGATTCTCCGGGCTTTCCGAAATGGAGAGTTCCCCGTGCTGGTCAACTGCGGTGTGTTTACCGAGGGAACCGACATCCCGAACATTGACTGCATTATTCTGGCGCGGCCAACGCGCTCCCGGAATTTGCTGGTGCAGATGATAGGCAGGGGCATGCGTCTGCACGCTGGAAAGACGAACTGTCACATTATCGACATGGTTTCGAGCTTGGAGACCGGCATCGTTACCACGCCGACTCTGTTTGGACTCGATCCAGGGGAGTTACTCGAGAAGGCCTCGATGGATGACATAAAGACCTCGAGGGAGCGGAAGGACGATGAGACACACCGACGCCAAGCAGCCTATTCAGACACTTCCACGTCTGGATCGTCGCCAGAATCGATGTCCATATCCTTCACAGAGTATTCTTCCGTCTATGACCTCATTGAAGACACCTCAGGCGAGAAACACATTCGGTCAATGAGTCAATATGCATGGGTACAAGTCGGCCAAGACAAGTACGTCTTGTGCGCGCCAAACGGGTCTTTCATCAGGCTCGAGAGGATTGACAACCAGTCTGATCCCAGCAAGCCACTCTTCCACGCTGTCGAAATGCGAGCACTGCCTCCCGAGATATCAAAGTCCCCCTACGCGGCTCCGCGGGAACTTCTCAGGGCTACGACCTTTGCTGATGCTGTTCATGGCAGTGATAAGTATGCCTCGGAGGCGTTCCCGCATGTCTTCATCCACCGCTATCAGAGCTGGCGCAAGAAGCCGCCAACGCAAGGGCAGATCGATTTCTTGAATAAGATGCGGCCCAAGGATGAGCCGCTCGCCGAAGGCAAAATCACGAAAGGCCAGGCTACTGACATGATCACCAAGATCAAGCACGGTGCGAAGGGGAGGTTCGCCACCTTGGAGGTGCAGAAGCGGCGAGCTCTGCGCGAAATTCAACGTGCAGATCAACGGGAGGTTCTTAAGCTAAGAGAGCGCGTTTCCGTTGGGCCGCTTGCTTCCTGATAGCCTTCTGTTTTGTCGACCCTCAGAAGCACACCCTGTCTCAGGCTGACACCTACCCAACTCGACCAATTATGTATATCGTCAGTTGCAAACCTGAGATCGCGATGGAGAAGTTATTGACTACGCCGAGCGCGGCCTCTCAACACTGCAATCACGCTGTCCAGGCTCTTGCATACTCAGGCTAGATGGCCTTACAGGTGTTGGACTATCCAGGGATCCCAAAGTGTAACAACACAAATCAATGATGGCCATTGCTTACTCTTTGGTACTACATGCAGCCTGCCAAATATTCTTGCTTCATTGCGCAATGTTTAAAAAGTCTGATGCGTACCATGTAGGAGATGCCCACTCCATAAACCATATAGTTAGCCGCAGCACTGACTGACTGTCTGTACAATTCATACACAGCACTTCCTTGTTTTTGTTGAGACTTGCCAGACAAACACTGACACTGTTCTCGCTGTACCATCTGATCAACATGACCAAGCACACCATCACTTCACTTCGCGAGACGGACCAATACCATAAGCCCTTACTCCGGGCTGTCTACAACCGCCTCGAGCTGGTCCATCAGCGGCTCGAAAACCTAGAAGCCCTCATGGTGATGCATATGGAGACTTCACGGCAACGCATGGAGAGCCCTGAGCGAAGCAATCATTCGCCAGAGGACAGCAACCTCAGTACTAGGAATCACGACGGTCACGCCTTACACAAGCTCAGCATTAACCACGCACATGTCGCGCATCATCTTTCTCGCCTGCTGGCGTGTGACACCCCCAAGAACGCCGCCGGATGCTTCACCCATGACATGAGTAGCCTTTTCCGAGATGCTTTTACAAACACAGAGGTCATCGAGACGAGCGCCTCAATGCAACCAGATCAGCTCGAAACATCAGAGAACCTCCTTCAGAAGACGCAGGACCCGGCTCGGAAGGGCATCGTGGATCCCGCGCAGCGCCTACCGGTCGACGACAACAGTGGCGGGCATACGGACCTCAGTGCCCCCACGGACAAGGAAACGCTTGGCAGCAGCGTGCTCACCACGGCGGGCGGCGACAACTCTCCACCGCTCTCCAGTAGCCCCGCCAGCAGCGATTGCGATTCAGAAGCTATTTCGTACTCGGACTGGACTGGCAGCGATGGCTCGACATACGGAAAGCGGTCCTCGGACCAGGCCCCGTCGTCCCTGCGGGATCGTCCTGTCCACTGCTGCAAGCGCAAGGCGGCCCTCCTGCGCCGGAAGCAGCGCATCGTCAATAACGCAGGCCTGGCTAGCTCGTAAGGCAAGGGGGAGGTTCGTGATCGTGTGGAGCTTGCGTTAATGTCAAGAGTTTGAGGTAGTGAACCGAATAGCATTGTGCTATATCGTGACAATCATCCCAGAGGATGTGTTGTGCTGAGTAACTAGTAAAGATCTATGTAAACAGTCCGCCATGGATGGCGTCCTCCCTCTCTCTTGTACAGTTGCGTGGACTGATTGATCACCCTAGTATAATTAATTCATGGCGACCTTGTCAAATGATATGCTTCTCTGGCCGGTGTGGTTTCAGCCCCAAGCCTGCAAATATGGGTTCAACGGTGCGCTCTGGACGGCATAGCACAGGGAGATCAAGTTGGAAGACTGAAAGGGGTATCATTGCATATCAAGGCCAACTGAGGCTTCGGCGAGCTTCCGTTCGCTTGACCCTATTGTTCCAGTCTCGCCCAGCACTCCCAACACCACGAATAGCGCCAATTGTTGTCTGGGCAGCCTCAAAATGGCCGTCCGTCAGGCCCTGAAACTTTTCTCACCTTCACTAACCCTGTATCCCCTTCTGGCAACCTCGGATGCCAAATGAGTAGCGAGGGTGCAGCGAGTCGTCACATAGTCCTGCAATACCGCTCCGACCACCCCCCATGTCCCAGCCATCCGCGCTCCAATCCGTGGAGCGGAACCATCCATCATGTTTTGTTTTTTTAGCCTCGTATTCGGCGTCAGGGGTATAAAGAGTGTACGTAAGTCGTAGGAGACAGAAAAGAAGGAACCCCGTAGGGTCCCCAACAAGGCGTACACATGCGTTCAAGGAAATTACTGAAAAAAGCAACAAAAAGACGTGAACGAACAAAACCTCGGGATGAATGACAGAACTGAGCCGACTGTTGCTTCAGAAGAGACGTTCCGGGGTATTGTACGCCAGGGTATATCCAGCCGGGGTATTTTTCGCGAGAGTTTCTAAAGACGGGAATCTAACGGAAAGGTCCAACAGGACCGGGGTATCCAGAATTCGTAGAATGAGACGTAGAAGGGCGACCGCTGTCGCCGGACGCACGAGTGCTGTGACGGGGCGTCACGTCACCAGGGTGAGGCACAGGCGTAAGCTTGTCGGTGCCGTTGCCAAGAGGGCGGTGAGCCCAAGGGTGATCCTCCTCGTTCAGATTAACGCCGCTATCGTTCCAAGGGTTGCGATCGGCATTAAAGCTGCGAGTGGACTCAATCGAAATAAGAGACGACTTGGACACATTGCTGGAGCCCTTGAAAAAATTGGCGTGGTTGGAGTGAGAGCTGTTCTTGCGACGGTCCAGGAAGGAGGAAATGGAGGTCATGCTTCCAGGCTTGCGGAGTTTATCAAAGATAGTACTGCGCTCGCGGGCCACCTCGCCTTCGAAAGCGGCCTTGACGGGCGAGTCGGCAGCGATGGGCGCGGGGGCATGCTGCAGGAGCTTTGAATCGAAGTACTGGAGAGAGTCCTCAAAAGAATCTGACTTGGGTCGAGGGATGGAGCCCTTCAGGATCGTGACCTCGACACCTGCGCCAGTCAGCTCGGCAAGCATAAAGTCGACTGCATCACCAAGACCACCTGCGTTGTTCCGGGTGAATGTCCAGCGCAGAGCGAGGGCGGACGAGCCGTCGGGAGCAAGCTCCTCGGAGTCCTGATGAACAGAGACTTCGACCTCGTACTGGTTCTTCAGCTTGGACACAAGGTCTCGGACAAATGCCGGCGACTCGAGGAACTTGACGAGCCCAGGCGTGCGAGTCAACACGAGCTCGTGGTTGTCAGGAACCATGCCCTTCCAACGTGTCAGCATGCAGTCTTGGCTTCTTGGACATGGACGATGGCGGACTTACAAGGAACTCGTCGACGCAATGAGGCACCTGCCACTGAGGCCCGTTCACGGTCACCTCGTCGCTGGCCTGCTCAGTGCTTGGGAACACAATCTTGCAGTTGTACTTGCTCTCCAACTCGTCAATCTCAGCGAGGCGGGCTAGAAGCTGGCGGTGGTACAGGCGATCGACGTTGACGATCTGCGAGGTGTACTCGGAATCCTGCCGACGTATTAGACGTGTCCCTAACAGTCCGTGATATTTTGTGACTTACAGCTCGATCAACCATCTCCAGGATCTCGTTCTTCACAGCGTCCAGGTTCTGTGCGTTACGCGCAGGAGTTCGGCAAATAACGTTGTCAACCTTAATGTCGTCATCCTCCCGGCCCATGCCACCACGATCCATGGCGTTGGAGAACTTGACGAAAACCGAGTGCTTCTTCATGATGCTCTGGATGTGCTGACCACCGATGCCGATGATGCGCTTGTGGTACTGATCAGGGACGTGGAAGGAGATCGAAGCTGGCATCTCCTGCTCGACGAGGGCGAGGCCTTGTTTCATGGCATCATAGCTTGCAGCTCCAACATCGATATTGAAGTTGTAGTCGTTGAAGCCGTCGAAGATGATGGTGACGTTGCTCTGGCTCATGATCTTGTTGATCTTGCCGTTCTTCTTTCCACTGACAAATTCTCGGTGCTCGTTCGCAAGTTCGATTTTGACGCGAAGTTGATGGTTGCCTTGCACGAGGAATCGCATGTCAGACATGACCATGAGCGCAGTCTTGACGGCATCATCCGAGCCAGTCATTTGAAAGTTGTTGTCGAACGAGACATCCGCATCCGAATTGGCGCAGACATCGCCAATCATGGTGCAAATGTCAGTCGGGCTGGGAAGCTGACGAGCCTGAGGAGGCATCTGGTGACCCTCGGGAGCCAACAAGAACCAGGAAGCACTGTAGAATTGGCCAGCCTGTCCCATGTCAGAAACTTGCAAGCAGTGGTAGCGTAGTGAAGGTTGAACCTACCAGCGACATGATTTCGCGAACAGTGCGCTCAACGTGCAGGCCCTCGTTGCCCTGTACTCTGACCATGTTCTTGCCTGTAGCAAGGACAGGGAAGAGAACGTAGGTGCCGTTGGCCTCCAGAATCTTGCGCACCTTGTCCATCCGATTGAGCAGAACGCTGTCAATCTTGGCCGCGGGAATGTTCACATCCTTCATGTACAGGCGGGTGCGTGTTACGGTTTCGTGGATCTTCTGCTTGGCCAGTTCGATCGCCTGGGGCGTTTCACCGGTGATGAGGATGTCATTGGGATCGCGCCGTTTAGCATTCGGGGGGCAGTATCGGTACATCTGCGAAAAGGGCGACGGGAAGTAGATGGCAGTACCCGTAGAAGACTCGATGAGCTTGATATTCTTCCGCTGGCGACCGCACACCACCTGATGAAGGGTCATATCGAGTTTGAGAGCGTCAACGAGACGACCGAGCTATGCATTGGTTAGTTCCATGGGCAGTGCAACACAGCATCACAGACTTACGAGCGTGTCAATGTGGATCAGCACGCGGGTCTTGGCATGGTCAACGGAGAGGATGTCACCGTAGATGGCGACCCTCCAGCGCTGGTCGCGACGCATCTCAGCATCGCCCGTCATGCCGTCCACGACGGGAGTGAGCTTCGGGCCGAGAAGGAAAATGTCGACTCCGCAGTATTCGGAGATGCCGTCGAGGGTGGTCATAACCTGGGGTTTCAAGACGGGGGTGGCGGCGGCCAGATCGCAGACCAGTTCACCCTCTACGTCGACGGTGGTACAACGCTTCAAACAGCCGGGGTTAGCCATGGGAGATGGATGGGGGCGAGAGGCGAGGAGATCTTGGTGCGGAGGGAAGGGCATACCAAGAAGGTCTGGTTATCATTCAAAATCATCTCCCTGGTCTTTTGGACCATTTCCTGGCTTCCAGACAGGCAGACGGTGGTGACCTGACTGCCCTTGGCATTCTTGGGGGTCGTGGAGACGACATGTGCCTCAATGCTGAAGGGGCCGTTGGTGATGTCCTTGCACGTCTTGCGTAGGTGAGCGAGATTCTGGGTGTGAACGGGAAGCTCGTGGACCTGAACATCATCAGGGGCGTCGACCGAGTGCGTCCATCGCATGACGGCATCCTTGGTGGAGTGGAGGATGTCTTCAGTGTTGGGGCCGGCGAGGTCGGAGGCGAAGGGCACGTTGAAGGCGTAGTGAACGATGGGGCTTGGGGCGTCAAGAGGCTGCTGCATAGCGATCGAAGCAGCTTGCTGGGACATCGTGTCTCGTCTCGGGTTCATTGGATTGACGGGCATATTGGGACGACCCATGCCGAAGTTGGGGCTCATCCTCTCGGACCAGTGACGCATGTTTGCCAGCTTATTCATGATGAGCAGACACCATGGGATGGGGGTGTTTCGGGGCTATCTTTCGAGATCCTGAGCCGTTGGCGAAGAAGACCGAAGGAGTTGGGAGATTGGGTGCCGATGCTGTACCGGGTGCTGGCACAGTCAAGTTGAAGCTGGACTTGGATGGTCGAGAGCTGCCGATGCTCGGGTATCTGGCGAGAGGGAGAACAGTGGGTTGGGGATAGAAGGAAAGGAGGAAAGGGTAGAAAGAAGAGAATAAAGACGTCGAGTTCGTACTCCTTCCAGCGTCTCTCGCACTCGTGGGTATCCTCTTTGGGGGGGGGAGAGAGACGGAGGGGGGAAAGGGAGTAAGGAGGGTGGGTGGGAAGAGGCAGTCGAGAGCGTGTTGAGGTGCAAGTTGTGGAGGAGTGGAAGGAAGAGAGTTGCGGACCAGACCTGGGCTGAGACTCGCAGGGCCAGGCCAGGCTAGACGGCAGGTACCTAGGTGGGTGAGGTAGGTAGTAGTGAACAAGGCAAGGCAGGCCAGGTAGGTACCCAGCCAGACAGGCCATTCGCCAAACGGCACCAGGCCAGAGACGTCGAGGTGCAGGTGCTAGGTACCACAGAACATAACCTTCAGGCGCTGGGCCACTCGAAACCTCAGCAAGTTCAGTGGGGAGGAACAGGTAAGCTCCAGCGGCCGCAGGCAAAACCCCCCCCCCCCCTTCAGGCGAGTCCAGGGCTCAGGGAGCCTGCGCTGGGCCACTGGCATGATCCACAGGCACGGGACTCGGAGGGCACGGAGCACGTTGGGGCCAAGCGGATCAGGCTGGGCCAGGGTAAGGGCCAAACTGTGGACCCCGATGGAGGACTTGGCCGATGGGTATCTCACGCATCCAAAGTGGCTGAGCAGGTACTCACATGGGAGGTCTTCGCCGGGAGGCTCCAATGAGCTTCAAGCGGGACCGCTAGGCCACAGCCCACAGCCAACCGACGATCCATAACAACATGACGGTACATGTCGCGGTACACATGACTGCGCCGATACATCCTGGTGTTTGTTAGCCTGCCAAAGCTCTCCACCGTTTTCTTACGGACCCCAGCAGCGTCATATTTCCATTCACTTCTATCAGCCCAGAGATCGTCTTCGCGCAGAGACAGTCCGTCCTGCGATACGAAGTAACAGGTACAGATGCCTCTCGAATGCAGGGCAGCATGAGCCACGACTTGCACTCAGCGCAGCATC